TAGTTAAAATACACGGAGTATAAGTGGGGACTACCTTCCTCTTCGAAGTACAACGTTAGACTGTTTCATTGTCCCCTATGAAAATCAATTAAATTTCTTTTGCTGATTGTTGTTTATATGACGTTTAAAAGGTTGCACATGTGTAAAACTAAAATAAAATTCTTAATTAATAGAATATATTCTTATTTCAGTCATATAAGCACGAAATTCGATTTAAAAACTTTGATAGAGTACAAAAAGACAATCTAACGGTAAACTTCGTAGATAAAGATGTATAAAATTTGCAGCAACGCATTCTTTGACATTTTATGAACCTTTGCGAATTGATTTATAACTTAAAAAGGTATTGAACGCGTAGACAAAAGAGTGTACTTTAATTTAATATAAGTTTCATTAAAAACTATTCACTTTTGTATAAAAAATATTAACCAAAACTTTTCAAAGAAATTGCAAAGATGCACAATTTACAGCATTGCATTCTCTGATATTTCAGAACTTTACATGCTAAATTTATAACTCGATATGGTATTCTACGCGTAGACAAAAGAGTATACTTTAATTTAATATAAGTTTCATTAAAATCTATTTACTTTTGTATATAAAATATTAACCAAAACTTGTCAAAAAAATAGCAAAGTTGTAGACAATTAACAGCATTGCACAAACAATCTCTGATATTTCTTTAAAAAGTTTCAGTTCTCTTCTACCCAACATGATAATAATTTCTAAATAATTGATTCGTTCTATTCGAACAAAAATACAAAGATAAAGATTTAAAAAATAAAGATATATAAATTGAACAGGTAGTCAATTGAAAATAAATTATCATCTTATTGTATCTTCCTTCCCTTATAAGATAATCTTACGAATATGCCATCATGAATATTTACGAACCTTATAGCACATTTTTATGTGTTTTACAACACATCCGTAAGGTATCCTTGTAAGATTGGTCTAAGATAGTCATAAGTAGTCATACCTAGGTATACCTACGATCGGTTACCTTCGTGAGGGCACATCCGTAAGGTTTCCTTGTTAGTTTATGACGCAGAATCGATCTATCAACGTTCCTATAGTTTATTATTAGCAACTTAATCACGCGTCTAGGGGTGGAACGAAGAAGGCACGTATGTACATTGAGAGCGTGCACCTGATGTCTATAGATAGATTATCGGGAGACTTTTACGTTCTACGTCATTCCTGTACCAACCGAATAACACTAACACAATCATACATGCATACTAAAACCATTTACCAATACCATTACTTTCATACAAGTGAGCTCACGGTTGTGAGTTAATCGTCTTTTAACGTCATGCATTAATTCATCTATGAAAAGATACATCTCGGAGGTGGTACACGTACACGTGGGTTTTATATATATGTATGTGTGTATGTGTATCTTAGTTATTACCTCGTCCAAGAGATAGAAAATAAAAAAAAAATCATTTTCGATAAAAGTGACGCAGAGAAAGTTGAAAACTACTATATCAACGATGCTAGTGACGTCTTTACTTTGATTACTTTCTTTCTCGTCAACATTTTTCTTTCTTTTTTCTTTTTACATATTTACCTATAGCAAGATTATTCTATTATTATTATATGAGAATAGGAAAAAAAAAACAATCTATAAAAAGAATGCGATGTGAATTTTAAATTAAAGGTTCTCTTTTTTCTTTTTTTTTGTACAAAAAAAAAGCTTGACATTATATCGATATTTCTTCTTTTTTTTCTTTTAATTTTGTAATAGACCAATTTTGGTTTACTTCTTTTTGATTTAAAAATCACGGGTTTAAAATATTTGTCTGAAAATCGTAGAATAATTATTAGCACGAGTGTGTGTGTGTTTTATTAATATATCAATGGTTTTAGTTTATTTTAAAATTCTTATGAATAAGCAACTGCCTAACAGTTCTCTGATGCAAATGAAATTGAACGGGGAGGTTGAAATAATAGGAAATACTTGTTTTCTACTATTATAATTCACGATTACGTATGCTAAAAGATAGTTAACATTTAGTGATCGTCGGATTATTGAAAATATCAACGAACCGGAATTCGGATGAATTTAATATTTAAAAAAAGTACACTGTTGTATATATATATTTTTTTTATGCAACAGGTATAATATAACAATTTTAAAAGGAAAGAGAGAATATAATGTTGGATGCAATAAATCAATTCGTCGTTGTCCTCCTTTTCAATTTACCCCTTCCCCCTTCCCCCCTCGTTGTCGATTGGTGCCAATCAAAGATCATAACGATCATACGTACACTCGTTAGGCTTATCAATTAATCCAAATGACAAATTCTTAGAAATGAATTAACTATCATCAAAATGACACACACATGATGATGATTATTATTATTATTATTGATTTATCCCCAATTGATTTCTAAAGAATAATTATTTCCCTTTTTTACGAACGAAAAAGAATTTTATTTTCTTTCGTTAGAAAATATTATAATTTTCCGAAAAAAAAATGAGATATTTATATCCTTCGAATCTTTTTGCCTAAGATTTTCTTCGCAAATTTTATCGAGGGGTTGCCAGAGAGAGAGAGAGAGAGGAACAAGGGGGTTGTTAATCGGGGAGAAAAAAAATCATTATATTAATTTCTTTGACCGGGTAAACGAATTTCTCGGGATACGACTAATTTTAACCGAAAATTAAAAAAGATAAAAGAATAACAAAAAATATACCGAGATACAATCATTTTGAGATTGATTTGAAAAAAAAATAAAAAGTGTATATGAAATAAAAAGAAATAAAAAATAAAAACACACGCACACAGGCACGCACGGAGAAGAGACACCGTTTACGTTTTAATATTAAAAGAAGAAGAAAAAAAAAAAAAAGAAAAAAGTTGGAACGTTCACTCGCACGGTTTCTCGGGGGGGGGGTGGTTGGGAAGGGGTGGAGGAAAGGGGAGGGGGTACGAACAAATTCTATTCTTTATTGTCGTACACGCGAATGCTTTCGCAAAGGCGAATGCGAACGTGAACACGAAAGAGAGAGAAAATAAATGAGAGAGAAAAAGAGTGAGAGAGAGAGAGAGAGAGAGATAGAGATAATAAAGAGAGAAAAGGTTGATAATAAAATACGCATGCGCGAAAGATCTCCCGCTTCTGATCGAGCAAGCAAGGAACGAACGAAGAGAGTTTAGAACCTCGACACACACACACACAGAAAGAGAGAGAGAGAGAGAGAGAGAAGTGCATGCAAGCCAGATTCATAAAACGGGAATTGTTCCTCCTTGTCGTCAGTTTCACTTTGAGTTTCCGACAAAGTGGTCGTATAAAGGTGTTACCAATTAAAAGTTACAATTATTCGTTCGTGATTAAAAAGAAGAAGAAGAAGAAAAGGAACACACACGAAAAGAAGAGATATAAAACTTTAAAAAAAAAATATATATATATATGTGACATATATTTGAAAAATATTTATAATTACGAATTTCGATTAATCGTCTTGCAAACGTTAATATTAATATCACTCTTCCCCCTTAAAACATCCCCGTGTATTTTTTTTCCTACCCATAAGAGACAAAAAAATCCATCAAGAAATTCGAATTATAATAAAAGAGAGAGAGAGAGAGAGGAGGAGAAAAAAGTACACTTCACAATCGTTGATTATTTTTGTAATAAAGAATACTCGAAAGGAAAACAAAATCAAGCACGGGATTGGAGGGATTGGTGGATATTTTGTTGTAAATATATGTACGATAAACGACAAGGAAAATAACATAATGAAAGCTAATACGGCTGCTACAAAAATTCAAGCGAATTTTCGCGGTTATCGTGTTAGAAAACAACTTAAAGATATAAAACCGCAACAACAATATCAACAACAACAGCAACAACAATTGCAACCTAAAAGACAACAAAGTGATGAAGAATCGTTAACGTCTTCCTCCAGTACGTCTACATTGAAAAGACAAAATACAAGAGAAGCATTGGAAGAAAAATCAGCAACCAAAATACAAGCTGGTATTCGTGGATATCTCGTTAGAAAAAAACAACAGGCAGAACAATTGGCAGCAACTAGAATTCAAGCTGGTTTTCGTGGATTCAGGACGAGGAAATTGCTCAAACAAAATGGACAGTGACATATTATTTCAACAACATTATCCCAAATTGTGGATTATTAAAGAAAAATACAATTAATTAACGAGTAACCCCCTCCCCCTCCTCCCAATCCCACACCGAGAGGAGTACACACCTTCGTTTATATTATTATTATTATTTTTTTTTTCTTTTTTCCTTTTACGCGTTATTTCAAATATTTTATCCTCGTTCGATATTATTATTCTCATTTTATTTCTATATTATTTTAATATAACAACAACAACAAAATACAAGAGCTTTGTTCCATCCTTGTCCCCATTATTCGCAACGTTAATTGTTCGTTCAATTAATAAAGGATAATTAAAGGATAGAATCCACATGATGATAAACCAGTACCATTTTACCCTTCGTATCTATGAAGGTAAGAGATTGAAATAATAATACAAATAATTATCATCTTAAATTAATTATAACAAATTATAATATTAATTTTGTTCACGCGTAATATCTTGATAAGAATAAAAAAAAAATTCATAGAAAAATTAATATAATTTAGGATCAATTAATATATCAAAAACTTCGTCGACTTATTGTTAGAAAAATTAGGAAAATAGAAAATGGGTCACTATGTTTTTTTTTCCCCCGTCCCCATTAGTCGCGGGGAAAAAAAAATATAAATGATAAAACTTCGCTAGACAGATATTAATAATATTAATAATAATAATAATAATAATAATAATCTATAAAACTGTTTGTGTGAACCGAATAAAAATCGTATTTTGCATCGTGTGAAATAAATGACGCGTTAAATCAACAACAACATACCATCCACCACAATGATACAACGTAAAACGTATGTGCACAGTAAGAAGACACATTATAAATGACTATACGGGTTTGTTATTTGAAAATTTAAATGCATTCTCTCTCAGTATAATAATTTATTTTGTCGAGAGAGAGAGAGAAAGAGAGACAGAGAACAAAAAAAAATCGTCAGGGTCACGTCGTGTGTGAAGTTGACAATCAGTCAATAATAATTCAGTAGTAACACACGTTTACATGATTTATCATAGCATAATCTATTAGAATCATAAATTACCCCTTTTCTTTTTTTTCTTTTTTGCAATCTTTCATTTTATTCTTTTTCTCTCGTTATTATATATTTTTTTTTCTGTTCTATTTTTCCATTATTTCTCTCTTCGCGAAAGAAATATTTTGTATTTTGTCATTTCCGATTAGAAGTGGGTAATGGTGTTGGTAGTAGTAGTAGTGGTAATGGTGATGATGATGATGGTGGTGTAGGAAGAAGTTAGTTTAATCGAGGACGATTACGTAATTTAACTCAATGGGTTTTATTGTCCGAGAACCATTCCGTGTATCAATCGATGTTAAAACGTGACGATACTTTGTAAATTGATAGCACTTGGAAAATGATAACTCTTAAGGATATGGTATATTGTTAATCATTAAAAATACCATAACTCAAATAGAAAAGTGTCTTACTTTGATAATTTTAATATTTTATGAATAAAATATTTTATTTATATATATATATATATATATATGTTATGGTATTTTTTCCTATTTTTGTATAAATTCACTTCTCTCTTTTTTATTATTCTCGTTTTTTTTCTTTCCCCCTTATTATCTCGTCGAATCGATTATATCATCGATTACGATGATTTTAACTGGAAAATTCCCCGGCTTAATTGAATTTAGTTCGAGTCGTGTAACAAGCCAATAGAGTTTCGTTTTCGTATCGAGGAAAGAAAAAGAAAAAAAAAAAAAAAAAATAAAATACAACACGTATTAAATGTGCACACGTATATACACAAATGCAAGCGTACAGGTAGTAATAGTAGTAGAGACATAAAATACAACACAAGACAACATTATACTATCCGTGTTCCGTTCTATCTATTTTTGTTCGGGAAAAGAAAAAAAAAAAAGCTTATCCGTAGAATACCCAGAGGGAGAACAAAAAACAGGTTTTTGCATGGTTAACAAACCTAAACGCGTTAATGCGAAATGAGGTGAAAAGAAAACAACAAGAAAAAAACAAAATAAAACGCAACAATGCATTGAATGCATAGAAATGCATTTTTCAAACTTTTATATATATATATATATATAATTAAAGTAAATATAAATCAAAGTATATTATATAAATAAATATTATATTATCATGTTTCACAATAATTCT